CGCTAACATCCAGATCATACCAGTTAATATCATAAATTCCATCGCAAAATTGATCATTCTGCGAGAACACAACTGAAAAGTATTTTTTAACTTCTTTCTATTTATATATACTTACACATATTTCCACACGTGTTCCCAAAATACTATACATATATAACCAAACGAAACAGACAAAAATATAGGGATAAGCACCTGGCCAGTATTTTAGCATAATTATGAGCAACGTGCTCAATATCCCCAATGTGGTGCATAATATGTGTGAGGTAATGGTCCAGAAGAAAATTAGGTTGCATTTATCGTTAAATCTAAATACCAAATAAATAATTGTATCTATGCTCTTTTTTTTATAAAAGTGATTTAGGTTTTGAGGAAAAACTCACTCCAAGTAGTACTGATGCCATCCTGCAATGTCATTAACCAGTGCCTTTATACGTTTGTCCTTATTATTCTCGCGCAATACTTCATGTAGATCACCGACTTTAAGTGCGAAAATATCGTAAAAGAATATCGAGTGTGTTAGAAATAGAAAGACGTACAAGTCAGCACCATACAAACCGAACGCCGCTACGAAAACACATAGTATATTATAACCAATCGTAATGAAATAGCCATGATCTGTGTTTACATCGACATACGGCATCTGACACATAATTATTAGATGCCTTTCACCCTTAAATATATATAAAAAGATGGGCGTGACCAAAGCAAGCAAAGCAGACACGAAATATACCAAGCCACCAATGATGAGAATGTTCTTCATGCTTTGGTTCCATTCCAATAATTTCGTCTCATATTTTGATCCTAACGCTTGGTATTTCTTGTAAATTTCCACAAGGTCCATGGCCAGTTCACGATATAATTTTGGATACAAGAGCAATGAAATTATTTTGACAACGCCTTGAGTGGCGCAGCTGATCGGTGAAAATACATCCAACAGAACGGTCCAATCGGTTTTGACATCTTTGCAAATCGTATATATTGAGATCATAAAATTCCAAGCAATCGCCATCAAAACAAAACCGACAACATAATTAAATTTATAGTTCTCATCGATAACGTCTATACCGACTAAGCTGGAGCTTAGGCGAATTATTTTTAGCAATTTATAAAAGTTGTCTGAAGGACGCGTTTTAGTTTGCATTTTGCAATAAATTTTCTTAAGGGAAATATCTACGTTGTCCAATATTCTTGAAATTAAAGTGCTTACTGAATAAAACGCTTAAATCAATAGGTATGACAAGCACTACGTTGGTCACATTCCCACGCATGTCTTTTCGCATTTTTCGACATGCTAATAGAGTCATTAACGCTTCGTAGTTTTAATTAATTTTAAAGACTATTTATTAATTACGGTTTTAAAAGAAAATTGCTGAGGAAAAGTCTTATCTGTATATGAGTGTATGTGACAATCTGACTTGCCAGGTATTTCCGTTGCCTAGCCGAGCCTAACCGTTTCCTCAAAGCTTTAATGGAGAAAGTTCCCTCAAGAGTGTTACGAGCTGTAATATAAAAACACATATGTATAAAATTTACTCGGGTATTACGCTGGAGGCGTCACTTTAACATATAGAGCCCAACCTTGAAGGGCATCGATTGCCTTGTATTGTTGTAGAGGAGCAATTGCAAAAAGAAGCGGTCTTTCAACATAAGTGGTCCATTAGGTCTATGATACCACAGTTTAGCCAATTACGTTTTATGGGGTCTTGTTTGTTGTAGAAAGCCTTAGAAAAAGCTACTCTTACGAAAGCACTTGAGACGAGAGCGTTCAGTGATGGCGCTCTTCAGCATCTGGGATGTTTAGGGAAAACGGCTAATCATGCCTAACGAGCAGAACGATGTATGGTCGCAAAAGTTGCTATCAGACTCTGAGAAGCTGTATTCTTCAGAATCTTCGCACGGTTTGATTTTATTCTTGTTCATTTGGATTACCGTTTCGATGAACCAAAAGCGGGGTTTTCTTCATTGCCATACCTGCGAGGGAAATATGAATGGGAAGAAGATTAGTGAAGGAGTCTATTGTCGAGAATTATGCATCAACGCTAGTTCCTTGCCTTAATATCATTAACTGTATGCTCGATGATAGTTAAGGAAGGATAACCTTATACAAATATTAATGGCAGGGATTTATTGCTTGGTAAGACTAATAGGTGCCCGGCCATAGCTGAATAGCAACCGAAGATTTGGAGAGTAAAGGTACTTCTTTATCGCCATCATGTTGCCTCTGTCAAGTAGACCAAATGTTTGCCAAAGTTCTCATAGCTAGGGATAGGGGGTTATTTCCTCTATTTGTTGGATTTCCACTATTCTCTGATTTAAATGTGACCGTGTATGGAGAGAATTGTTACAACCGATTCATTGAGGCCTCAGGTTAGATATTTCTTGGATAGAATCGCGATCAGGTACATCAAAAGATAGCAACACTATCAAGTACGAATAATAAAAATCTTCTTACAAGAGCTTGATTCCGATTATTCAGTTTGTATGGCAGGTAAATGCTATAGTGGTCCGATATCGACCGTTCGAAAATAAATCAGCAGCTTTTTGATAAGAAAACAGCAGGTGCAAATTTCGGATGTATATCTCAAAATCTGAGGGTTTAGTTCGTATATAC